CAGTGTGGCCTAAAGCAGGTATCATTATCAGTAGTACACAGAAAAAACAAAACAAAACACAATTTAGCAAGATTATGTTAATCTGGATGATGACGTGACTTAAACACAAGGGCGTAGGTTTGATTTTGACATTGGTGAAGACATAAAAATCATAGCTAGGGACAATTCAGTAGTCGCTGGATATTGGTGGGTCCCTACCATATTCTACGCCCATCCTTAAACTATACTTAAATATGTTTACTGACATAAAATGTCATGAATTTACCTTTTTCTTGATATAAGAATTAGAGGCCCTGAGGAGCCGTTCGATCTCTGGTGCCAGGTCTCGACACATCTCAGCTGAACCCATGCAGGCCAGAGTGCATAGAGCCAGAGACTGAACATACTGACTGATGTGGGAAAGGTCACTACAACAGAGAGAAAAATGGCCAGACAGAATAATGATTTGAAACTGGAATCAAATAATAATATATAAATAACATATTTTATATTATATATAATATACAGCATTTACTTCTTGATTGAGTTGGTAATCAGTAAGCTAGCATCCTGCTTCTCATCCAGGAGCATCATGGCTCCCAGGTAACCCATCCGCTTCTCGTTGTACCTGGGGCTGGCAATCAGACGTACACACTCCATCTGCAGGAGTCAATACTAAAGTTATCACCATAGTAAGATATAAAAGGTGAAAAGACAACTGAAAAAAAAGAATATACAGAGGGATAAGGCTGCACAGATGAGAATTAAGGTGCTAAGATGTGATGTATCCATAATTGGAGATGTAAAAACATGTTATCCATCAATGCAACCGCACACCTGGCCGAAGTGTGCAGGGTAGCCCAGCATGTGCACGTAGAGTAGTTTTGCAAGGCTGTGCGAACGTTCCCCATTGTCACCATGGCGAAACTGTGCTCGGATATCTGCACACTCTCTTTGGATGATGCCCCTCTCCTCGCATTGTGTCCGGGCACTTCGGATGACCCGGATCATTTCCTGTAAACGCACTGATGGAGTCATGACTGTATCTGTAATCAGAGAAATTGAGATTTCATAGAAATTGAAAGAGGAACCAGCATATACCCAGAACAAAGCAATGATTTTACATTGGTAGTTTCTTAGTACTTGATTCAATTGCATTTTTGAACAGACTTAAATAAAACAAATGTTTATATTAAGTGCAACTCTGAGGGTCTAATTTGCTTCCATTTTATATAAAGAACTATCAAGTCATGTCAGGGCAATACCATGACCACTTTTTTTTAATAGAACCTCAATTTGAACACGGCAGTTGACCACCGACCAACACAGCAAACTTCACCCATGTGTAGTATATGTGCAATATATTTAGTGAATAACAATTTGACAATCAGATAACTTGGATTACAATGCAAGAGTCCTATGGATTGCTTACACTACTGTTCGAAAGTTTGGGGTCGATGAGATTTTTTATGTTTTTGAAAGACGTCTCTTATGCTCACCAAGGCTGCATTTATTTGATAAAAAAAAAAAAAAAAATTCTAAATGTGTTCTTTTTTAATAATATATAGAAAGGAAGGTACATTTTAAGCAGCCATTACTCCAGACTTGTGACTAAGCCTCTGCAGATGCAAAAGAGAACCCACGACACACCCCTCCTGATCTCACTCCACTGGCTCCCAGTTGTGGCCAGAATCAAAATTAAAGTTTTAATGCTGTCTTTCAGGACGACCCCTGGAACAGTTTCCCTACCTCATCCAGATCAGGTTACTGAATGAGCCAAAACAATGAGGCAAAAAGTCCCTGCTGGTGTCCTAATCTAGTTTTCCTTTAAACATGACATTGTTTACTACAACGTTTGTTGGCTCTTTGATGAATGCTTTGTTCCTCTTTTGTGAGTCCATTTGGATAAAAGCATCAGCTAAATCCATAAATGTAAATGCTACTATTTTTGTGAAAAATCATGATAATCTTTTTTCAGGATTCTTTGATGAATACAAAAGTTCAACTAATCTTTAATCACTTGTGATCAATTTATTTATTTTATTTTTTTGGAACCTGTGGTACTTTTTTTACAGGATTCATTGCATCCTCCCTGTATTTATGTAAAAGTATTTATTAAAAAAATATTTTGGGCTGCCTTTTTGGAGCATAACGTTTTTTAAAGTCTGTAGCTAGTCATTATAGGCTATATTTGTATTATATGAACAAGAACAATGTAAACATCCCGAGATGTCTCATTTTTGAGTGCACTCTTCCTCTAATATTGTTCTAAGGACCTAAATAGTTTAAAGGTTATTTGGGCCTGTTGCCTCTGGTTCCTCGTCCTCCAGCTGAGGAACACCTGCTTTCATTTCAGATCTTCCCATGATGACTACATCCATTCCCGCATGCGCACCGCGCGCGCTACGCGGCCTTCGGTCGCTGTGACGTTACTAATCTACAAATGCATTCCACATGATCTCATTATCGTTTTGACATCTAACAGAGCCATTTTCATATAATATATACAGCGCAGTCATTCCTAATTGTGTTCATAAATAGTCAGTTTCCTCGAACCACCACCTTTAAACACAAACGCTGTGTGTGCATTAAAATCAGATGCAATAAAATGCTGATAAAACGTCAACAGTCAGGAGATAACGACAGTAAAGACTTGAATGATCTGAAAACGGCGATCAATTTGTGCTGCTCGTCGCTCTCGTCGTTTGCAGGAGATGTAAACATTTCTTGCTTTGTGGTACACTGCATCTGTTTGTGATTAAACGGAGAATTACTTATGATACTTTTCGGTGGCAAAAGTCAAGTTTGTACACCTCCCGAGTGTTGTTAACCAGTGTTTGTATCCGCTGACGTTTCCAGCAACTGATCCCGGGCTCATCGTCTTACCTTAGGGAGCGCAGTAATTCCAATCGCCGAAGCCAGCCGGCTGCTCAGTGACTAATTCATCCGCTCCTCCTCTTCTGTTTAACCTTACGATGTATCTGTTGGTAACCAGAGGAGGTATTTTACTTTACGAGCAACTTTACACAGTAACAGCATTTACAAATGTGTATAAGCCTCATAGTACAGCGCGACTTCCGCCATCCGGGTGTGCCATTCATTCCCGTCGTCCAGCTGCTCTGGAACTGCAAAAAAAGACTTCTGTGTATTTAAAGGACCCGCGAACTATTTCCTGATGTTTCGTCCATTTTCAAAGTAAATTAAAGTAAGTGATTCAATGAATATTACAAAGTAGTATTACATTTATTTAATAAAAATAACTAATATACATTTTTATGTTATTATTTTTATAAGTAGCCTAGTAAACTAGTAAATAATTCTGTTTCATAACTTACCTCTATACTATTTATTCTCTTGAATCCGTAAAATAATTTAAATCATATCATCACGGAATTCTATGGGGATCCAAAATTAGATGTCACTTCTTTTTAGTAGCCATGTTTTGGTAAGATTTTTTTTAAAACGTTTTTATCATAGGCCTATACTGTAAAGGTTTTACTTTTTATGCTCACCAAAACTCAATTTATTAGATAAAAAATACAGTAAAATAGTAGTATTGTAGTACTGCTAGAATTGTAGGCCTTATATCATGTTTTTTTTTTCTATTTTAATATATTTTAAAATAATGATTTCTAAAGTTGAATTTTCATCAGCCATATACTCCAGTCTTCAGTGTCACATGCTCCTTCAGAAATATAGGCCTACCGATAGTTATTTGTCACAATAACATTTCTTCTTATTATTAATGCTGTAAACAGTTGTGCATATGCTTAATATTTTTGTAGGATTTTTTTCTGGATTATTTCAAACGAAGAGCATTTATTTGAAATATAAATATTTTGTAACATTATACATGTCTTTATTTTCGCTTTTGATCAATTTAATGCACCCTTGCTTAATACAATTTTTAATTTCTTAAAAAAAAACTTACCCCAAACTTTTGAACAGTGTATTAGGTAAAAGTTACTGGGATAAATTAGATAGTCTCTCATAAAAAGGAACTAGGTAAACTGGAATATATACGAGGAAGTGAAAAGTTGATATCTGAACCTCAGATCCACATAAATTTGTTGATTGAGCAACTAATTGTCACACTGTTGGGATATTTCTTCACTAAGTATAGTGTCTGAATGAAACACTTGTGAAATTGCTAGAAACATAGCTGACATTCATTTATCCAGTATTTGTTCAGGAGCTGAACTCTGTCAACTCTGTTCTTAGACAGCACTGTGCATTGAAGGATTGGGGGGTGTAGATACCACTTGTTTTACAAAGAATGGACATGACTGTAGTGAAATAAAGTCACACTAAAAACAATGGGGTCTGTATAATAGCAGCACATTGTATAAAGTATTTTAACTGTAGATGTCACACATTCTAGTCAATTCTAACGATCACATTTTGATGTTAATTTTGAACTTTCCTTTAGTTGTTATTAAATGTATTTCTTTTAACTTAATATATTTTAACCTTGAGAAAGGCCCTACACTATTAAAAAAAAGTTACTGCATGCCTTACATTTTTAAATACAATCAACTTGGATGTTTAAGTAATTTCAAGTTGAATTTACAATAGATAAAAAATAGCTGAATCTTGTATAACTTGAAACAGTTGAAAATTACTTAACTTATTTTGATGAGTTAAAGCAATGTAAAAATGTTGTAATAACCTATTGATTATATAATCTTTTACAGTGGAAATAGACCAGTTTAAAGTAAAGTTTAAGTTCTCCAGTCACCTAATTGTGCTGGTTTACCGTACCTTCACTATTCTGCAAAGGCCAACAGAAATGTTGTGTTTTTTTTTTCAACAAAAAAACAGTGTTTTGTTGTCCTTGTCCACCATGAAAGCAGGGTGTGGGATGTGGGTTATATGACACAGCATGCTATTCTTCCCATTTACTCCTAAATTACAGACATTTTCCATGCTGGCAAGATTCCATGCTGGTAAATACATTTATTATACAGATTTCTTTCTTTATTCAATGTGTCTTAAACAATTGCACACAACAAATGCAAAAACAAATTATATGTGTTTATCTTCACCACAATTATTCAACCATTTTAAAATAGATAATACAATTCAGGGGATACAAACACCAGAGAATGATCAAGAGAACATCAACTATGCTCAATATAAAAATACAAAATTCTCTGTAACGGTGGCAACAGCAAAATTGATATTGCGTCTAATAATCTTGCCAATGGGAGGCAGTATTGCACTAAGGATGTTTCTTAAGGCCAGTCTTACAAATGAAAATAAATACTTTTTTAATTATTAAATTAGTCTCCACATTTGTGTGGATGTTTGTTTTGCATTTTCAAAATCTACCACACTCATATTGCTTAAGCTGTTGAATGAATATCCATCAATAAACCTGTAAATTTACTTCCTGTATAATGTAATCCTATTCAGCTTCCTCTTTGTCTTCATTTCCATCTCTGTCCTCACCGGGATAAACCACCATGCACAGCTTCTGCCCCAAGTGTGTCAGTTTAGCTATAGACAGACAACGGCAGATGAGTGTCTAGTAGCTTCTGTAGGCCTCATTTCAAATCTGTTTAGTCTAATGCAAATAACTGACATTTGTAAATCAGCTTAACACATACCAACAAAAGAACTGAAGCTCTTGGGCTTGTTTTCCCAATATATGCCAAATAGATACACAGGAACACCTGACAAGTACAGTGAGAAGATCAGCAGGAATGCCCAGAAAATCAGGAAAATTACTGGCCACACCAAGCTCACCTGTGGAGTGAAACCTGTTGATTTCAGTAAAGGACTACAAATGCACAATACAAAAATAAATAAATAAATCTATAATTATACATAATTATTCTTCACAGGCTAATGTTGGGCTCTGACAGCTCAATAACACTATGTCAAAACTACAAAATAAAGTCAATAAGAATCAGTCTTTCCTTGATTGGCCGATGCATGTCTGGCTCTTTGATGCGAAGCACAATCTGCCCGGTAACAGTGACCCCATAAAACAGGTGATAAAACCAACATAGTTGATGAGGGTGTATATGTCACTGGTGCACAACATCAGCAGAGTTGATATACACTATAAAATAAATCAGTACTTGATTTAATTACAAGAAGCAAGCAACAACCAGCACATTGCATATTTATAGAAAAAAAAGAAGCTTTTTTACATAACTTAAGGAAAGAAAAAAAGAGCTCACAGTGAAAAGCAAAGCTGGGATGGGTGTACAGCGGTTAACATGAATCATTGCCAACAGACGGGGAAGATGACCCTCCCTCGCACCTGTAAAGAACAACCTGTGAAAGACCAACTGTCAATCAACCTGATAATGATTATGCTGAGAATGCAAAATATAATGCAAACTGAAGGAGCAAATGAAAAATAACACATTAAGACTGACCTAGATGACGTGAAAAGAGATCCATTGACCCCTCCGAAGGTGGACAGAGCCACAGAGATGGGCATGATCCATGACATCATCATCCCAAACAGCTTTTCGCCAAAGGTCTGATTGAGATTAAAAGAGAAAAAGTAGGCACTGGTGGGAAAGGGAAAGGTGAAACCCGATCAAGTTTATAAAGGTGAGCAGACATTCAGTAATAATGTCAGATAGGCTGTTTAATTTTTTCTAATGAAGGAACTCAAAGTTCTCACCACGGCAACAGCATTGGAGGCCAACAGTTCCTGAGGGCTCATAGCTGTAACATACGCAATATTCACAAATACATAGACAAAAGTGACCAGAGGGATTGAGATGAAGATTGCGTGAGGCAGGTTCCTGCAAATACAGAATTAAAACATGGGTTTAATCTCGATTGTAATTTTTTTTGACGTTTTTTTTAAAGCTGTATCTGTCCCAAGCGGCAATTCTTCTGTATTTAAAATGCTAAAATTTATATTATGTATTACACCCCAATAGTTATACATTAATGATCTTCTGCATGTTTAACAATTAATAGCATTCTCAGTTAAGTGTCCACTTTGTCCCAGATTTCTCATAAAATGACAAATTACAGACAACAAACACAATAAAATAGCATAGCCCAAATAACTTTTATCTTGAAAGAATTTGATGAGAAATATTCAAGTAGAAATCTCTGATGTTTTAGTATTGGTTTCTTGATAAACCCGAACAGTTTGAGATACCGTTGAAATCTCCTCTGCAACTGAAGAGGAGATCCATGAATTTACTTGATACATGAGATTTCTTTCTCAGCAGAAAAATGTGAGAAGCAGATTAGTTGCCAAAAGCCTGCATTTACTTTCTATTCATTTTCAATGATGTGTAGGAGACAAATTGAGACATAAAATTCCTATTTCATATGGCTTTTCACCACACTGATTTGGTGTCATTTACATTATTAATGTCAATAGAATCCCCAGATGAAACAATTATGTAGGCTATGTTGTTAAAGTGTACATTATACATGACAGTTTGAATATTATATTCATATTAATTTTACAGTTGTGGAAAATTACATCTCTGCGCTTCTGCGAATAATATTGACCGTTTAATGTGTTAAAATAATTAAGTAATCCATAGTTTCGATTATACTTATTTTGCATGAAAATGATTTAATAAAACAAGCTCTCAAAGACCTTTCCCTTTTGCGGTTTATTACTTTGTGATATTATTTTGTGACTGGCTGACTGTAGCCTACACTCACCGGCCACTTTATTAGGTACACCTGTCCAACTGCTCGTTAACACTTAATTTCTAAGCAGCCAATCACATGGCGGCAACTCAGTGCATTTAGGCATGTAGACATGGTCAAGACAATCTCCTGCAGTTCAAACCGAGCATCAGTATGGGGAAGAAAGGTGATTTGAGTGACTTTGAACGTGGCATGATTGTTGGTGCCAGAAGGGCTGGTCTGAGTATTTCAGAAACTGCTAATCTACTGGGATTTTCACGCACAACCATCTCTAGGGTTTACAGAGAATGGTCCGAAAAAGAAAAAACATCCAGTGAGCGGCAGTTCTGTGGGCGGAAATGCCTTGTTGATGCCAGAGGTCAGAGGAGAATGGCCAGACTGGTTCGAGCTGATAGAAGGGCAACAGTGACTGAAATAACCACTCGTTACAACCGAGGTATGCAGCAAAGCATTTGTGAAGCCACAACACGCACAACCTTGAGGCGGATGGGCTACCACAGCAGAAGACCCCACCGGGTACCACTCATCTCCACTACAAATAGGAAAAAGAGGCTACAATTTGAAAGAGCTCACCAAAATTGAACAGTTGAAGACTGGAAAAATGTTGCCTGGTCTGATGAGTCTCGATTTCTGTTGAGACATTCAGATGTTAGAGTCAGAATTTGGCGTAAACAGAATGAGAACATGGAACCATCATGCCTTGTTACCACTGTGCAGGCTGGTGGTGGTGGTGTAATGGTGTGGGGGATGTTTTCCTGGCACACTTTAGGCCCCTTAGTGCCAATTGGGCATCGTTTAAATGCCACGGCCTACCTGAGCATTGTTTCTGACCATGTCCATCCCTTTATGGCCACCATGTACCCATCCTCTGATGGCTACTTCCACCATGTCACAAAGCTCTAATCATTTCAAATTGGTTTCTTGAACATGACAATGAGTTCACTGTACTAAAATGGCCTCCACAGTCACCAGATCTCAACCCAATAGAGCATCTTTGGGATGTGGTGGAACGGGAGATTCGCATCATGGATGTGCAGCCGACAAATCTGCGGCAACTGTGTGATGCCATCATGTCAATATGGACCAAACTCCCTGAGGAATGCTTCCAGCACCTTGTTGAATCTATGCCACGAAGAATTGAGGCAGTTCTGAAGGCAAAAGGGGGTCCAACCCGTTACTAGCATGGGGTACCTAATAAAGTGGCCGGTGAGTGTATATCATCCCTGGCAAATGACAATGTACCTGTAGGGGTCGATGAGCTCTTCTGTTACATAGTTAAGAAAGTTCCATCCTGCATAAGCGAAGGAGCCCTGGAGGAAAGCGAGTGCAATGCGGCCCATGTCATAAGGCTGGAAAGGGTGAAAAGCATGTTCTGTAATAATAATGACCTGGAGACACAACAGAGAAGCATTTTATGTGCTGTGCCTGAATTAACATGTAGAGAGTATCCACATGAATGGAGAAAGTTGAATTAACTACTGCATAATGAGTTTTATAACAGCAGAAAAGCGTATTATGCACTGTACAGTACACTTCCCATTATCAAAATCAATGCTTCTTTCTTTGAGGATTTTTTTAAGAAGACATTCAGAGCTCCTTTTTTGTCCTTTGGATATCAAGCACATGAAAGCAGCAGACTACAAACGGCCCAGCATGACAGTCGACTTCATATGTGAGCTTGTCTGTGCTTAATGGATTTGTGCTCTTTTGTTTATAGTGCTAAAATGGGTCAAATATGAAAAGTATGCCTATGTAATACTCTAAGCTTAATGCCTGCCCTCTTATATTCAAGCCCTTTATGTTCACATCTAATACTGCGCATGTGTTAAACAAGCTTTTATTGTTTCCTTGCTCTGATACATAATTTAGACTGTTTTTTTTGTGCTAATATGTTTATGGCAGTGGTAACAACAATAAAAAATTCTATTGCGAGGCCTTTTGTGAACACAGGGCACTTAGCGAGAACACATAAAGGTGACATTGTATAATGTACGTATTTTGTAACATTTATAATGTTACAAAAGAGATTTCTATTTCAAATAAATGGTGTTCTGTTGAACTTCATGTTCATCAAATAATTCTGAAAAAATGCATCAACTCCCACAAAAATATTAAACAGCACAACTGTTTTCATCACTGATAATAATAAATGAGTTTTGGGCACCGAATCAGCATTTTAGAATGATTTCTGAAGGATCATGTGACACTGATGACAGATAATCACATAAAATGTATTAAAAAAATTCTATTCCCTAACAGTAAATGCTCTGCATTAAAAAATGTCAAAGATCAAAGACTGTCATCCTGGGGACAGTTTAGGAATACCTAAACAAACAAACAAACACACGCACACACACGACATTTTTTTTTAAAAAATATGGAAAACAATATTAGTAAAGTATGAGTAAAATATGTTTATCTGAGTGATGTTAATGAATGGATTTTATAGCACCATGGACTGTACCCTTGCAGATCTGCACGATGCCCATAATGATGATGAGGCAGAGGGCGAGGAGCTTGCCCGTCGTGAACACATCCTGTACCCGTGTCGCCCAGCGGACACTGAAGCAGTTAATAGCACTACAAGGAAAAGAACAAATTATAAACATTCAAATTCAATTTGATGACAGTAACCATGCAAATTTACACTAAAAAGGAATGAAGTCAGTCATATGTTATACCGGTATATATATAAATATACTAACTTAAAATTCAGAAAACACAAAACAAGCTGCTGTTTGATATGTCACTCATATCAATACTGATATGTTGCTGCAATATTCACGGCCATGAAAATAACAGCTTTAGTTTAAAGAACTAAAACAACGCAAGAACAGCCAACAGGTTTAAGCTACCACAATGATTAAAGTTGCCAGACAATATTTTTTCCATGGCTTTGGAATCAGCCAGAATCATATGGTTTAGTCTGCACATTATGTACAATTTGAGCTCTTGCGAAAGAAAACCCTAAATGATACAGACCTGTGTGAGTATATTTTTTTGGAAAACCCCAGCATGAGTCACAAAGCTGACATTTCAGTTCATTAACCGCAATTATTTATTAATATATCTAGAACCAGTTCCTGAGCAAGAAGAGGTTATGAAAAGCCACTTTTCTGATTGAAAGTGTTACCTGCGGTCAAGCCAACTTTGACTAAGTATAAAGTGATTTTTATACTTTTTTTAGGCTATGTGATAAAAAATTGCAATCATTTCCATAACTTGATAGATGAGGAGATTTTTAAGGCCAGGGCTTCTGTTTTCCTTCCATCAGAGTCCATAGTTTCAACTCTAACCACGTTTGTTGAACACACATCAAGGAGTGTGTCTCAATCAGCTCCCTAGCTTCCCTAGGCCGTGAATCAGTATCGTGTTCACAAATTCGGGCACTGGTAAGGACAGCAAGGACCCTGGCTCACTACACATTGGGACACTCATTGTACAACTTCACTACTGGTATTTATGAACAAAAGCATAACTGATATCTCTCTCACATTATGTTTTAATATTATTTAAAGTATTATGATAAACACTTTGCTTGTTATATACATGCAACATTTCAGCCATAAATAAATTATAAATGTTAGCTAGATTTTGTTCATTACCTGCCTAGCGATGTGTTTATGCTGAAATATAATTAAGAAATGGTTTGTATTTGAAAATCATCTATCGCGTGTCATTATGAGTTATGAGTTGGCTCACATGATTTATGTTTCACGCTTCAGAACTTCCGTTATGAGAACATACTCTGTAAAAAATATTGCTGATTATTTATCACAACTGAAAATTCAACAGTAGTATAACAAAAATGTGTTGTTTCAACTTAAAGTATGTGTCCGTGCTTGACTTAACTAAACTAAACTAGTTAACTAAACTTAATATTTTTTTTAAATTGATATTTAAGTTCTCAACAAATTTTGAGTTGTTATAACTAATTGCAGCAATTTTTTTTTAGAGTATGAAAACATCAATGCTCCCTTGTTTTCACAGTGCATTGTGGGACTTTTAGGGAGTGAACGTTTCAGTGCACTGGAAGAATTTTTGCGATTGAGACACTAGTGTCCTGACTACTGAACCAGGGAGCCGCATCCAAGGTCTTTAGATGCACTTAATTATAAACATGTTTAATATATAAAAGCAGGGTTGGATCTGCAGGGCCAGCATACTCTTGGATAAAAAGTGTTGTCAGGGACAGTCATATTGTAATGTATATGTTCTAAATGTGACTTACACAGGCAGGCGGCAGCGAGCAGACCCAGAGCTCTCTCTGGAGGGAAGCATGAAGGGAAGAGAGGCTGCAATGCGTAATTGGCAAATGTGAGGGCAATCACAGCCTGGCTAGTTGGATAGACCACCAACACTGCAGTCCACAGCCTTAGAAACCTATTCAGAAGACAAGGTCTTGTAAGACCTTACATTACATTACATCTACAAAAAAAAATGACTTGGTCTTACCCAGCTAGACCTCCAAAAATGTCTTTAACATAGGAATAGTCTCCGCCTGACTTTGGGATTGTGACGCCCAGTTCAGCATAGCACAAAGCACTGATGGCAGTGATGACGCCCACGAGAACCCACACTATGAGAGCCAGACCCACTGAACTGGCATTTTCCAATACACCCTTTGGACTTACAAAGATCCCAGACCCAATAATGTTACCTGGAAAATAAAAACAAACAAGCAACAGCAATTAACAGAAGGACTTTAATTGTAGCTCATTAATGATTGTGTATAAAATTTCGAAGAAAGGTATAGGTCCAACTCTCTAATAATGCCTATTGTTTTGGATATCGGACAAATATGGGTTTTTGGATGTCCATATACAACTGGTCATATACTAAAGTTGGGATCAGTACGTTTTTTGTTTGTTTTTGCAAGGATGCATTTAATTGATCAAAAGTGACAGTAAATATATGTAAGAGTAATGGCTGCTGAAAATTCAGCTTTGCCATCACAGGAATAAATTACAGTTTACAATATATTAAAATTGAAACAATTAAAATACCTGTTTTCTGATTAATACTGTTTTTTATTGTATTTTTGATCAAATAAAGGCAGCCTATTGTGAGCATAATGAGACTTTCTTTCAACCACATAAAAAATCTTACTGACTTCAAACTTTTGAACAGTACTGTATATATCCTAGAAAATCTCTGTGTTCTTCTCTTCTAAGGTTTTCTTCTGCTTTGTGACCTTGAGGGCTGGTTTTAACCAGTCTGGTAAAATATTAAGAATGCTCATATTTAACATCTGTTGAGCAGTGAAAAGTTTCTTTGTTTGGAAACAAAAAGAGATGGAATTCTAGAGATTTGGAAAAAAGACGAGGCTAATAAAATAAGCTGAACTAATGAAATACAGAAGCTCTGAACTGCAGGTGATCATTATTATTATTCTTTAAGCACCTTCCCGAGTCCCTTTCCTCCATTTTTTATTTTTGTCAGTGGTGTAGAGTAAATGTAATTAGTTATTACATATCTTTTTGGCTACTTTGTAGTTTGACTGAGCATCAGATGTTAGCAACTTTTACTCTCTGCATGACTACATTTTTGAATAAGTATATATACTAACTCTTTACTCCAGTACATTTGTGATGAATAATGCAATTACTTGTTACATTATGCATGGTAGCTTTTTCTGCAGCAGTTTACACTCACCTAAAGGATTATTAGGAACACCTGTTCAATTTCTCATTAATGCAATTATCTAATCAACCAATCAACATGGCAGTTGCTTCAATGCATTTAGGGGTGTGGTCCTGGTCAAGACAATCTCCTGAACTCCAAACTGAATGTCAGAATGGGAAAGAAAGGTGATTTAAGCAATTTTGAGCGTGGCATGGTTGTTGGTGCCAGACGGGCCGGTCTGAGTCTTTCACAATCTGCTCAGTTACTGGGATTTTCACGCACAACCATTTCAAGGGTTTACAAAGAATGGTGTGAAAAGGGAAAAACATCCAGTATGCGGCAGTCCTGTGGGCGGAAATGCCTTGTTGATGCTAGAGGTCAGAGGAGAATGGGCCGACTGATTCAAGCTGATAGAAGAGCAACTTTGACTGAAATAACCACTCGTTACAACCGAGGTATGCAGCAAAGCATTTGTGAAGCCACAACACACACAACCTTGAGGCGGATGGGCTACAACAGCAGAAGACCCCACCGGGTACCACTCATCTCCACTACAAATAGGAAAAAGAGGCTACAATTTGAAAGAGCTCACCAAAATTGGACAGTTGAAGACTAGAAAAATGTTGCCTGGTCTGATGAGTCTCGATTTCTGTTGAGACATTCAGATGGTAGAGTCAGAATTTGGCGTAAACAGAATGAGAACATGGATCCATCATGCCTTGTTACCACTGTGCAGGCTGGTGGTGGTGGTGTAATGGTGTGGGGGATGTTTTCTTGGCACACTTTAGGCCCCTTAGTGCCAATTGGGCATCGTTTAAATGCCACGGCCTACCTGAGCATTGTTTCTGACCATGTCCATCCCTTTATGGCCACCATGTACCCATCCTCTGATGGCTACTTCCAGCAGGATAATGCACCATGTCACAAAGCTCGAATCATTTCAAATTGGTTTCTTGAACATGACAATGAGTTCACTGTACTAAAATGGCCCCCACAGTCACCAGATCTCAATCCAATAGAGCATCTTTGGGATGTGGTGAAACGGGAGCTTCGTGCCCTGGATGTGCATCCCACAAATCTCCATCAACTGCAAGATGCTTTCCTATCAATATGGGCCAACATTTCTATTGAATGCTTTCAGCACCTTGTTGAATCAATGCCACGTAGAATTAAGGCAGTTCTGAAGGCGAAAGGGGGTCAAACACAGTATTAGTATGGTGTTCCTAATAATCCTCAGGTGGGTGTATATCTGCTACAAAAGCAGCAATATCGCCATCAACAGGGCATTGAAGACACTATATCTTGTGCATTTCGCCCTTACTCACCCAAACATGTCAACAAGTCGACTTTACACGAATGTGAGTGCATTAGCAGGTAGTTGTGAATCACATTTTTCATACATGAGATGCATGGAGATACATGGCTGCAGGGTGAAACCAGCACGCCCAGTGCAAGTAGGCTTTGATTATTTCATTTTACTTAACATTATTTTATTTATCCGACCTTTTTGAAGGATATTGGTTTACGTATGCCCTTTTTGGGCATATGAAAAGGGCAATTTGAGATTAACTGAGACTTTGCAGACATTTAAGAGGCTGTTGTGTCGATTGCAATATTGAGGTGATAGAAAATAAACATGTGATTGCTCTCCTCACAAATCAAATGTTCCTTGTTTTTCACTGGCCTGCACTTAATTCAGGACGAAGTAAAAATCCTTAACTTTTGTTAAAATCAGATAATCAGAAAATGGTTTCACAGACAGGGCTTAGATTAAGCCAGGATTAGGCCTTAGTTCAATTAGGACATTTAAGTAGCTTTTTTTAAACATGCCTTAGAAAAAAAAAACATTGGTGAAGCTCTTGAGACAAAACAGTGGCACTAGCATATTTTAAGATATGTCAGTGCAAGTTGCTCTAGTCTGTGAAACCAGGGGTTAATGTTAATTGTTTGCAAACAAGAGGAAAAAAAATATAAATCTTAAAATGATCATGCAAATGATCACACACACACACACACACACACACACACACACACACACACACTGTCAATACCACAGTACCTGTTAATGGACAATACAGGAAGATAGTGACCTGACCAACTGTAACCCAAAGACTTTCACAGTTTACATCTCAGATAACATGCATTAACCCAGCATTGAGGTAACTGGCAAAGACATGGTGAGCTTGCATTCAAGTCTAATTTACATGCCATGTAGTGACCTAGTTTAGATTTAAACCTGCTACCTAACACAATAGTCCTACTGACAAATCTCTTCACCGTTGAATAATCCTCCTTTTATAAACCTGCATGAAATTCCTGTATCATTAGCTCTGCCAAGATGGAGTCAGTGTTCAAATGATGTATTTTAAATTACATAATAGAATAAATATAATATGTGATCATACAACCTGTATGCTCTTCTTGTGGAACACAAAATGAAAAATACATTGGAGCCCCTTCACTTTCATTGTATGGACAAAAACAGTTAAACCAGTCTTCAAAATATCTCAGAGGACACAAAATATGCGTATTTATTATCTTCATGTATTGTTCTACCAGATAAAGTGGAAGGAGAATAAAGAGAGGTAAAGTACAGCATAAAAGACACTTTCTTAGACTTACCCACATTAATACCACACGCACTGAAGAGTCCAATCTCTTTCTTCAAGGCCACTGCTGGTTCTCTGTCTGTGTCTGAGTCCGGCACTGATGAAGCCCTGCGTCGGACGCCACTGCTGCTCATTTTCACACAGACAGCAGCGACTTTGTGCTATTGGTGTTGAGTCTCCGTAACTTTATCCTCCCGCCCCAAACTTAATGTATTAATCTGATAAACCCGCCTACAGTGCTCTGGTTTGGTCTAGTTTAGTAGATGAGTGTAACAGAGGAAATATTATGCAACTACAAAGAGTTTTTATTATTATTCAGTAGTCCATTGGAATTACAATATTCATATTCGAATGGCCCGAACAAATAAATGAATCTGGGTCATAATCAGATAAACAAACAGCATTTGAATGTTTGACCTCTTGACCCACAATCACTGATATTATCAAGACAATAAAAGATTAAAAACTGTTGAGGTGAGGACAAAGTTACAAAAATAATATGGAACCCCATTTCTGTCAACTAAGAAAAAACTCATGCTTTGGTAAATCATATTTATGACAAAAAAAGAGTTGCAATTATGACAGTCAAACTTATAAGATAAAATAAGTAAATTTTGATTTCTATCTGACATAATTTGAGAAAAGAGTGTGTAGGGTTGTTTGGCATTTGGTGTATGAAATAATAATTAGAATTAGATGATCTGAACAAATATTGATGGCACAATTTTTTCAGCACTTCATAGTGCCAGAATTATGTTTGCTAGGGGCCGTGTGACAAAATGAGCTCTCTGGCCAGAGAACAAAGCTTCTCAGTCAGCCATGCAAACCAATATCTTTTCCCATAGTTACATTTTAATATATTTGTATAGTGCTTCTCACAACGCATACTCTTCCAAAGCTGATTTTCAAGTGAAAATGTCTCACAAACCACCAGTTAGTTAGCCAAAGGCATCAGTGGCGGGAAAGAATTTCTCAAAGATGTTTAAGTAGCCGAAGAAGCAGCCAAGAGTCATTTACGATGTCCAGAACAATGATGCAATGGCTGGTATAATTTAATTCCAAAGAAATTAGTGTTTCTGATAGCTGAAAAAGACAAAAGGATCAAAATGGATTCATAATTCAACTAGATATAGAGAATGTCTCCTGAAGTGTCTTCCAAAGTTGCTCACCATGAAGATGGTCACAATCAATAGTGCTTGAACAGCTATTTGTGAATATTCCCTGTGATGCAAGCAAATAGGTTCAGATGTCTTGGCAGAAATCTCCGTTGTTCACAAGCTGTGCTCTCTTAAAGGGATACTTCACCTCTGGAAAAATGAATGTGTATTTAAAATGGGTCATTTATGTAGAAGAAATGTGAAATTATTTTTTTAATTTGGAGCTTTCTAGACTGAGAAAAGCCAGAAAATGTATGTGGATGAAAGACAACAACTCCCAGTATGCACTTGCTTTGCGGCCCTAGGAGGCCACGCCTACCGGTAACAGAGCGCAGTAGTTAAACAACAAGTCTAGGCTACTATTGAGTCTCCATGATGAGTCTGCCCGAAAATGTGTTTCGAGATCGCCCAAAATGTCTGGGATTCGGCTTTTGCGTTCTACAGTCGGCATTTATTATGTTTACTGTGGCGAGCGGGAATTTTCTTAGCAATGTTAAAACGCACATCAACCGATCACTTGTTTAGCTTTCATGTAAACACTACATTCAGATTCACCAATCGGAATGAATTCAGTTAGATTGAAACAAAAGGTGTGCATGTAAACACTGAATGGCGACTGCAGGAAGCAAAAGCTGAATCCCGGACATCGACGGCCGGACATGTCTGGGAAAAAGAGGATGGTAACCCCTACTACTCAGCTTTCTCCACAGAACAAGAGCCTGCTAGCATAGCTTCCAAAACAAGATGTCTGACACTATGTGTACATTCTGTGAGTGCGATCCCACCCTCTATGGGCGGGTTGAGAACATGCGGAACAGCTCCTTCTACTGGCTGTAGTCTTTAGCCTCTGGCCAAAAAATCCTCCGATGACGCAAAATGACGATATTTGTGTCATCGGAGGATTTTTTCCAGACAAAAAATACATAAATCTGTCGTCTCAGGGGGATATGAGGGTGGAAAGCATGGTTATTCGAAAATACTACAGGTTTTCTACTAATACAAAGCTTAATGCTAAATCCTGAAGTATCCCTTTAATGAGTGTTCATGAGGAAACAAAACCAAACCAGAGCTGATGGTTTGCCTTGTCTATTATGGTTTAGCTAAAATAATTCCCTCTCTTAAATACATTTAAAGAGCTACAGTGACTTCTTTGCATACGACAATTTGATGTTTACATAAACGTTGTTTTTTATTCAGCATTAAAATTCAAGTTCATGTAAAAATGTTGGGTCTGTTTGAGCATCCCGACCAGCACAACACAACAACATTGGCTTCACGATCTCAGATATTCACTACATGATTATCCAGGGTATCTGCAGAATTGTTATTTATTAAATCAAATGTAAACCTTTTTAAAGACCTTCTACCGAGGTGCATTCCCCTTCATACGGTGGTATTGGTACAGGTTTTACGCACAATTCGTTTTTACACAATTCGTTTTTTTCTGTCCTCATATTTAAGACCCCTTGAAAAAATACTTTTCTTATACCGTTTAAGATTCTTATGGCATTAAATCTATATATATATAAAAAAAAACAATGTTAAGAATTTAAAACGTTTTTTAAGACGATGCATATGGAGCATGAAATTATGACAAAAAGTCTTTTTATAATAAGTATATCAGTTATGATTTACAATTAAAAATTGATAAGCAAATTCATCTTTAACTTTATTTTCGCACTTTTTTTGGTGGGGAAAATAAATAATACTCAAAAATATAGAAGTGTAGAGGGGTGGAGAAAGAGTTTGTAACCATAACTCTACAAAAGCATACAAAAAGAACTTGGGCTCAACCAAGGGCTTGAGGTTGGAGCAGTGCAATCATAACAAAGAGAAAGATCATCACATAATTTTTTATAATTTTTATTTATTATTATTCATGTTGTAAGACGTTATCAGGAAAAAAACTGTATAAAAGTATGGAATAGGTTTCCTAACATGGCCTGACTGGGGACATCATACTATGATTGTTCTAACCATGGGGCATCGCAGGGCATTGGTGGGCAATAGGGAAATATGGCTGATGTATTATGTACGATGTCAAAATAGACCACCTGACTTACATAATCAGCTCTAGAAAATAATGGTCTTCAAAAACTAACAGATTTTTTTGTTAATAAGTGCCAAATACTCTTAATTTTTTTTTTCCAAATATCAGGTGTTTGAACTAAGAAAGAGCACCATGACAATCGCACTTTGCTTTAAAGGATACCTCGTAAGTGCAGTTTTAATTTCCATCCTTATGAACATTACAGAAATGACCAAAGATACACCGCTGTCATGTAGAACAATCTCTGTGAGTGTAGGTGGGCCCTTGAAACAAGATATTTAAACCTGCCACTAGACTGAAAAAAAAAAAACGAACAAAAAAAAGTCAGTGTAACCCCATGTGCGAGTAGATGTCAGTGTGGGAGTCTTGCTACAGGCCGATGGTGTAAGAGCGCCCGGCGGGGTTGTGAATGGCGGAGCATGTAGGCTCGGTCACAGCCCATTCATACCAGACCTTCTTTCCATTGTTACACCTCCAGAACCTCACGCTCACGTTATCACCGCAGGACAGCGGGATCGGCTGCTGCACGGGGGGAGAGAGGGAAAGAAATAGGTGTTAGGATTACATTCCCAACGTGACTGTACGCTTTAGCGCATTAACTGTAGAGTTGATAAACTGCCACGCTTTGACAGTGCTTTACTGGCTTCAAACCAAAAGTTCTAACTGTATTTATGTCCATGACGCACTTTCTTACCAAATGGTATTAGAAGAAAATGCATACATTGTGTGATGATTTAGATAGCAATGGAGGACTGAGATGAAACACAGCAGCATTAATACAGTATCAGTGTAACTGTACAGTTAGATAAAAGTCAATTATAAAGATAAACTGACTGCTAAGATGAAGCTATGTGAAAAATGCACTCTTTATTGTTAAGGTAGCATGGCATGCATACTTTCAAGAGAAAACATCCCAAAACGCCTAGCGACGAACGGAAATGATGAAATAGGAAAAGTTCATGCTTTGATGAATAGAAAGTTCAAAAGCATTTACATTGCATAACATTGTAAATTAGTGCTGTCAAACGATTAAAATATTGAATCGCGATTAATCGCATTTAGGCATGTGTCGGTATCAAATTTTCATGCTGCGATATACGGTATTATCACGATATTTTAATTGCACAAGAGAAACGGATGGATTGGGGGTATCTAAAAAAAAACAACTTGCATCACAATGTGCTATTGTGATTGTCAAAACATTTGGTAACTAAACAGAATTTTATTAGGTTTAGTGACAACATGTTACAATGTTTACATCATGTACAATGGCTGGTAGGCTACTGTTTGTATAATTGCTTAACACAATTTTCACGATTTCAATTCAATTCTTGGATTTGATTTCAATCTTGATTCAATATTGACTCATTTGGATAAATATTAGGTAGGCTACAGTAGATAGCCTGCATGTTAATTTTTCTCAAGAAAAAATATATCTCACATAATGCTGTAAACATACAGAGAGAAATTAAATATAATGCCGTTTTCATTATAATAACAATTATATAATGACACAAGTAAAAAATATAATAAATAGGTAATATAGTCCACATATTTAGCAAAATACTCCGCTATTTTTTCTAGTCAACTAACGTGCTGGTCATTAAATGGCTTTCCTTAGGTAAAGGTAACATTCTGTGACATAATTGTTCTCCTGCAGTTTTATTGACCTCTTTCCGTGGTTGAAAAACACTGATTGATCGATATTATGTATGAGGCATATACCTTTCGGTAAGTTGTACTGTATCTTTAAATAAAAAGAAACAGATGATGCGCTACAGTCACGTCACATTTACAAGCGCCAAAATGGTATTTATTGTCTGAATTTCGTAATAAAATGGACAGAACCTGAGAGCTGATATTTTTTTGATATCAAAAGTAACCTGCTCTGTCTAGTCTGTCGGTGTCAGTGTCCTCTTTGCTCCGCGATTTTTCTCTGCGTGAGAAAATGGATGCGTGGCGTGAGAGCGTTTGAAAAGTGTCAATTGCGTGAGTCTCAAGCTGAATGCGTGAGAGTTGGCAGCCCTGCTTTTAAAAGGGGGATAAATCGTCGGCAGTGTTCCTTCTTCCGCCATGCTTTTTCTCAATGTGAGGATTGTTTACATTAGACTAGAGTGCGCACTGCGCGCATGCACACAGTGCTTAACATGTGGGGATTGTTTACATCAGAGTGCGCACGTGTTTTGCGCAGCAGTGTTTTTTTAAGCGGTTGATGCGTGTTCTAAAAATCTACATTCGGATCATTTATTTTTCACGGTATTTTGAAGTGCCC